CGTGGAGGAAAGAAGGTTTGGAAACCCCCCACCTTCGTTCGCTTGGCAAAACACAAGCTCCCCAATGGGCGCAAGATCACCGTCAAGGCTGGCACACAGGTGATTGACCGGGCCTGGCGCTTCCTGAAAGAGCGGGTAAAGATCAATCAAAACACCAAGACCGGATCCCACCAGCTAACCGCGAAGATCAGGGCTGCCCAATATGAGTATTGGCAGCGGGGTAAGGACATGTGGGCCAGCACCGGCACCCTTCTCACCTGGTACATGGACAACATCACGTCAAGGCACAAGGAGGCCTAGACCTCGAAGCGGAAATGCCGCATGAGTTTTGGCAGCGGGTAGGGACATGCGGGCCAGCACTGGCCACCTTCTCACCCAGTACATGGATAGCATCGCGGCAAGGCGAAATGGGTCCAGACCACGAAGCGGGCATGCTGCAAGTTCAAATTTCGCATCCTCCCATTCCACCTGCTCCAATGTATGCTGATCTCCAATGCAAAACCCTCTGAAATCCTCTGACGCACGCCCTGGAAAGCCACGAAACGGTAGATAACAGAGTGGGGGGTAGCATATATATATATATATATATGCGGACTTGAACCTCTCGTCAAAATGCGAAATGCCCGAGGAAAATGAAACCCCTCACCGTCAAGGCTGCAACAATAGGAACTCGTCGCCCTTAAAGCGCCAGAACCCCGCTGAGTCTGCTGCTGAAGGGCAGCAAATTCGTTTAGATTAGGACTAGGATCTAGGGGTTTACAGCTCCAAAGGTTGCGGCGAATTCTGAATGGTTGAACATGGTTCCGGATAAAATAGTCTGACGGCATGGGGCACGAGGACATTGATGTTCCAACACCTTTCCGTTTGCCAGAAGCCCCGCCGGCCATGCCCTCAGACCCTAAACCCTAAACCCTAATCCCTGAAGCCTATGCCTAAACCCTAAACCCTAATCCCTAAACCCCAAACCCCAAACCCTAAACCCTAATCCCTAAACCCCAAACCCCAAGCCCTAAACCCTAAACCCTAAACCTATACCCTGAAGCATCTGCAGAAGCCTCAAAGCCTTCATCCCGAACAGAGAACCTTCAGCCCCAAGCCCGTACAGAAACCTTATGAGAACCTTCAGGGATCTCTCACCCTAAGGGTCCATGTATGCAAAGAAGTATACTTTCGCCCTAAAGTAGTCCCTATATAGGTACTTTGGGGCCAAAGTATATACTATTTGGATACATGGACCCTTAGGGTCATAGAAGCCCTAAATTCCTGAGATAGAGCCTGAAAGCTTAGCCATGCCAGGGGAGATTTCCAAAGAGGGCTTCAAGGAACTCGTCCGCGTGTTCTACAAGTGCGTGAAGGCAGAAGAAGAGGGTTTAGAGTACATGTGGGGTTTCAGGGTTGAGGGTTTGGGGGACGGGGCGCTGAAGGGTGAGGAATGAATATCAGCAATCAGCAGTCTTGACAGTCTTGTAAGGGGTTCTTGTGTTTACCCTGAACTCTAAAACCTAAGCCCTAAACTCTAAAGCTCTAAACCCGAAGCCCGAAACCCTAAGAGAGGGCTGTTTAGGGTTGTCATTTAGGTCGGTTTTTCAGGGCTCAGGTAGACACTAAAGGTTTAGGATGTGAGGCTTGGAGTTTAGGATTTATGCTCTTCAGGTTTAGGACTTAGGAGATAGGAGGTAATGCCATTTTTATGGTGTAGGCAATACGGCACGAACCTTTGAGGTGTAACAAAGAATCTGGAACTACTAACCCTAAAGCTTAAACCTTGAGAAAGGTCCAGCACAAGCACCAGCACCAGCACCAGAGCGCGGAGGGCGAACTCCGACGCAAACTGCGCTGCCTTGCGCGAATAAGTGGGGGCTTCGGTGATCGATGGCACGGCCGGACATCGCCACCTACTTGCGGGACTGTTCGGAGGAGGAGCTCGCTCAGCTGGCCGCCGCCGCGAACACTAGCGGTTGCTCGGCCCAAAACAGCTCGATCTCGGCTGCTCGAGATTGTTTAGATTTTGTAACTGAGTTTTACACCTCTCTCTATCTCTCTCTCGCTCTCTTTCACTGTGCCTGAAGGCAGATGCAGAGTTCAGACGGTAAGGCTTTAGGGATCGGGAAAGAGCACTGCCTATTTCGTCGTTTAGATCTGAAGGCTTATGTGTGTGTATATATATATATCTAAAGAAAAACACATATCATCTATATATAAATGTATATACACACATACTTCTCTTGTTTTATAAGTACCTTTAGGGTTCGGGGAAAAGGGGCGTGTCTTGTGGACCCGTACGTGCATGGTTGCTAAACTTCAGCTTGGAAATCTTCACCCTAAACCTATAGAAAAGAGCTACACTCCCAAAACGCGGCTGTCAGCTGCACGCGGTCCGGTGCGAACACTTAAGATTGACCTGAAAGAGCGAAGCTGCACAAATCAACCTACAAACATTTCTGTGTTAAGAAACCACCTCATGGGTGGTAGACAGTTTGATCAGACCCTAAACCCTAAACGGATCAGTCATAAGACCCTACAAATCCTAGGCAGTATTAAGGAGACCTCTTAAAGGGGACCCTTCTGAACCCCACTTATGGCTCTCTTAAAGGGGACCTCGTTGAGAGGGTCTATATCCCCAAGGGTCCCTCTAATCCTAACTCCTAACAAAATAGTCGAGGCTAGAAACCCCGACATCGTTAACCCGAAGCTTGGCCCTGGACCCTACAAACACGTACAAAACTCAATCGCAACCTTTCCCCCAGACCCTGTCTAGGTTTGCTTAGAGATGAGACCTAGCGTATAAGTAGGGAAAAAGTGGAGTGTTAAGTGCCCTGACTAATAAGGCCATCCTACCTACTTATAACCCCCCTTTCGAAGGCCTCAGAACCCTTCATAAACCCCTGGCAGCACCCGTCTAAGGGCCTGCTCCAACCCCTTCAAAACCCCGAAACACTGAACCTAAAGTAGTACTAATGTAGGAACCTGATTAAGGAACCCTGTTATTTATTAGGGTTCTTTATATGAATCCTTCTATTTTGGGGGTTATAGGGCCAGGGTTTCTTAATCAGGCTCCTACATTAAACCCTAAACATTAAGCCCTAAACATTAAACCCTAAACCTTAAGCCCTAAACCTTAAGCCCTACATAACCCATCGAAGACCTCAAGACCACAATGCGCAGGCCCTAACCAATCAAGACCTCAAGACAGCAATGCGCAGGCCACAGTCATGAGTGAAGAGATGTCCATCAAGTCGAAGACCATCAGGCGCCTTGAAGTCGGCGAGGCCCGGAGCCCAAGGGCGATGACTGGTTTAGGGTGTAGGCGCCCCCTAGCCTAAAGGAACCTTAGAGTAACCCCGGAGTGTAGGGCTTTAGGGCTTGAGGGCTTTAGGGTTTTAGGGTTTAGTGTTGAGGGTTTTAGGGTTTTAGGGTTTAGTGTTAAGGGTTTTAGGGTTTTAGGGCTTTAGGGTTTTAGGGTTCTAGGGTTTTAGGGTTCTAGGGTTTAGGGTTTAGTGTTTAGGGTTTAGGGCTTTGGGTTTAGGGTTTTAGGGTTTAGGGCTTTGGGTTTAGTGTTTAGGGTTTTAGGGTTTAGGGTTTAAGGGCTCTTACTGGTTTAGGGCGTAGGCGCCCCTAGAGGAACCTTAGACTAACCCGTAAAGGAACCTAAATGGAACCCTGAATAAGAAGCCTATAGCAATTCCTTCGAGCAGCTTGTGTTACGGTAAACTGTCAAGGGTTCCTTTTCAGGGTTCCTACGGCTTTTTTTCGGGTATTAGGCTCTGGGTTTAGGGTTTAGGGGTTTAGGGTCTACTCCCTGGTTAACCTGAAGAGCATCTTAGCTACGCTCTTGTTTGTCCACCCTCCGTCCCTGACCCTTCAAATCCTTGAAGCTATCATGAGAGCCGTGCATGGATTCAGTAGTGTTCAGGGTTTTGGGTTGAGAATCTGAACTAAGGGCCCAAAACCCCCCAAAACCTAAACGGACATGAGATGTGGCTAAGCCCCAAAACCATCCAAAACTCTTAATCTTACATGCTACAAGTCGAAGTCCTACAGTTTCAAACCAAAGCCCCCACCAAAGTCGACAAGGCGACGCCTTAGGACTCGACAGGAAGCGAAGTTTTCCGGTTGCAGCTCCAAGCTGTAGTTCACCCAAAGAGCCCTGATAGAACCCTTTAGAAAAAGTTTTGACTAGGTTCCCCAGTAGTACCCTTTTGCCCTTTTTATTTGGTGGGTCTCCATATTAAAGCCGACTAATAGGAAAAAGGGTACCCGTATTATGAAGGGGTTACTGGGGAACCTCAGGACCCCACATCATAAACAACCGATTAACACTATAAAGCCTATAAGAACCCGAACCCCAATAAAGACTATAAGAGCCCTAAGCCCAAAACCCTATAAAGCCTAGAAGAGCCCTAAAACCCCAAGCCCTATAAACCCAAACCCTATATAGCCCATAAGAACATAGCCCTAAGGCTCTAAGGACTCATATTTTAAGGCAATTTGGGCCAAAGAGCATACTATCTAGAGTTTTGGGGGTTATTTTGAGCCTTAGGGTAAGAACCTCAGCAACAACTTTTAAAGCACGAGATAAGCCCTAAACCCTAAACCCTAAAAAGGTCCTCGAGGCGCTAGAAGGGCCGACGATGGAGGAGGCGGGCGGCTAAGCCCTACCCATAGGCTTTAGGAAAAGGGATCTACAGGGTTTAGGGTGCCTTAAAGCGTTCTTTAAAAGGGGTCTATAGGATCTGTAGGGTTTAAGGTTTAGGGGTTTAGGGTGTAGGGGTTTACCCATAGGCCCCTAAGTAGTTCCTTCTTGTGGCTTATATTTAGAATCCTACAAGGTAATCCCGAACAGGTACATAATATGGCTTCCTTGTTATGGTAACTTAATTAAATCCCTTAACAAGTACCCAGCTAAGGGCGGAGGGTTCAAGGTAGCATAGGGCGGGTTAGGGTTTGGGGCTTAGGGCTTATAGGGCTTAAGGTAGCAGTTTAGGGTTTAGGGCTTCAGGCTAGCAGTTTAGGGTTTAGGGCTTAGCGCTTGAGGTAGCATAGGGCGGGTTTTGGGTTTAGGGTTCAGGGCTGAAGGTAGCTTCTGTTTTTTTTTCGGTGCTTAAACCTCCGAAGTTTTGAGATTCGGGCTCCGGGGTGTGCGGCCATACCCCAAACGGTTGCACATAGCCACAACTAGGCCCGGCAGTAGTGCGATTATGAGGTTCCCGTCATTATGTGGTTAAGGGAACCTAGGCAATACAAAATACCAAGTGCCACGATCTCGATTGTCACTGGCCCGGTTCACCTCCACATTGTTC